TTTTTTTTTTTTTTTTTTTTTTTTTTTTAAGCCACGATTGAGATTTAGTTTTGTAACAAAAAAGTTGTGCAAAACTTTGTCTAGTAATTTTGATAATGAGTATATCCTGTCATGAGATCGAGAGGGGATTGTTAAAAGTTTTAGACGATTCTTCATCTTTTGCAGAACTTTCGTCGAAGAACAGAATCCTGTAGAATATCATGGTTGGATATTTTAATCTAGCAGTCAAAAAGAAAAATACGAGTTCGTTTGGTAGAAAATGTACCTTTTCTCAGTAAGATGACTTTATGTGTTACGTAGATATCGAAGAGGCAAATATCGGTCTCAGCTGGAATATTCAAACCCATATCTTCTACTCACTACACCATCTCTCGACTATCTTCTTCTTTAAGCTTTCCACAACAATCTTTTTCGTTTAAAAAATCGAGTATTTTATTTCAAAATTTCGTGCAAACTACATCAAACATTTCGTTACTAAAAGAAGATAGAAATTTCAAGAAAGTAATTACAAAGCTTCCTTGTGAAAGTGATGCAAAATGTTTCTTTTTATTTTCTTTACATCCTAACTAAGTAATCTAGCGATAATACACGTAATTTATGTTATTCTTCCTTATATTTCCACTTATCCAGAATCGACCCAGCCTTTATCTTCCATCTTTCTATCATCTAGCCAAACTCGATTGGTTTCAACATTTCTGTTAAAGCATGATTTCAAGATGGAATTTCATTATTGTCCAGGTGATTTCACGAGGAGGCTCACAGGGAATGCTCTCTCCAGTGTCTCTCGGTATCATATTCTTGTTCTCGAGAGTGGCTTCGTGCCAAGCGAGCCCTAAACAAACCCTAAGCAAGTTCGCATCGGCTGCTTGGCTCAGGTATCGACGCGCGAGCATCAGGTTGTGAATAAATATTCGATATCAGCCTTTATGAAGCATTCCAAGGCTCGCACGATGCGAACTATTTAAAAACTGGAATTTTATCAGCCGGCAAAAAATCTCATCAACGCTAAACACGTACGATCGGTGTCCTACATAACGTAATCAGATCAAATATCCCTTTCCCTTCTAGAGCGAGAAAACGACAAAAATTCGTTCCTTTGATGATCAAAATAACTTAAAAAAGGAAAAATATCTTCATTCCAGGTGAATGTTTTGAGACCGATAGCATCACGTGTATTTCCAAGTTAACAAAGCTAGTTCGTGAAACGCTATATGAATATGGAGACTGAGATACTATCGATGAACATTCGTCCTCTTTTTTTTTCTAGATTTTACTTAGATAATTTCTCTTTTATGTCCTACTTTCGTACATTTTATATATGGCATCTTCTAACGTTCTAACGACACTTAACGAGTCTTTGCTAAGTAATGAAACTGTGTTAAAATTAGATTTATACCCATTTGCGAAATTACGTTAAAGGAAAAAGCTTATTCTTTGGGTAAAAGCAAGCTGCAAATTAAAATACAATTATCCTCATTTAAAATACAATATTTGAATTCATTAAGAATTTGCTTGCATTAGCGAGGGTTTCAATCAATAACGTACATTATTAAATTTATCATAATACGTATATCATAATGTGTTGTATATATTATAATACATTATTAAACTCATCGCAATATATCAAGTTGTATCAGTCCCCGACGAGCATTTATAAATGCAAATAAAAATAAGTACATCGAGCGAACCATGCGGATCGTGACTAATTAAACACGTGTATTTACATTTGATAAATATTCGTACTCGAATTTTCAACTTACTTTTACACAAAAAAAATATGCAAAATTTCTAGAGATATATCATCTCGCAAACATTCTGTATGTGTTTACATTATGCTTTTGTTTCCACCCCTTTATTCGATACTATCGAGATAGAAAAAAACGAAAAAAAGAGAAAAGGAAAAGCAATCGAGAAAAATTGAATTGTTCGGTAACATTTTGCGATTCAACAGATTTTACAGATTAGAAAAATGGATAACAAATGCTCACAGTCGGAATTCCGTTTTCCATTCACAAACCTCAAATCGTACAACCATCTGACTCCCTGCCAAACTTTTAGCCTAGGTCCCACGTTGACAACAACGCAATTGGATAATTAAACGAAACGGAGCAACGGTGTGTATCGTGACATAATTGACCGTGGAGGCATTCAGCGTGAGCCTTGTCTCCGCTAGATATATTCGACCGCGACAGTACCATGTGCCGGGCCAATTAAATAGATTTTCGATTTTAATCACTCGGGACATTTAGACAACGGCAAATGTTCCGTACTAAGCTCGAACAGAGTACGCGACGCCACGGCGGTATCGTGCGCTGTCTAGCACAAACGCATACAAACATCTACAAACGTTCGTAAACGTTAACAAACACGGCCAAACTCATACACGAACCACTTTCGTGACATTCGTGCGTGCAAGGATTACCTTGGTAAGAATTGTCGGACCCCCTCGTCGTCTAATCGATACAAAATGATATTATATCGCCAACTATCATGACGCTGGCACCCTTGAATTTCTGTGACGCAGTTAGATGGGACTCCCTGTTTGTCGTGGAGTGCGTACAATTAACAATTAGGTGACTCATTCGTACCTTTGTGCATCATAATTGCACGAACAGCCACTCTGTTCGATATCTCCTGTCGAAGAGAACGGGATCATGCAGAAAAATGATGATGAAACGGCTCGTACGTGACGTCGACGTGTAGGTGTTCCTCCTTGTACGCGAGCCTTCGCGTTTTTCCTCTCTTAATTAATGAGTCGCTTAGAGATTGCTCAGAAAGTGGCCCCTTTTGTTGATTAACTTTTGCTGCTCTCGTCTTCTCGTCGCTCCTCGCATTTTATCGTAGTTCGAGCTTAACCATTTAGAACGTGCTTCGGTTTGCTTTAGTTTGAAGATGTCGATTGAGTTTTGTAGAAGATGACGTTGGTTTGAACGATGATCGAGATAAGAATCCTTGATAGAGATCTCATTTAGGAATAAACGGTTTTGGAGAATTTCTTTGATTCTGTTTATCATCTACATCGTAATTTTTCGTGTTAGCTGGCTGATGAGAAAGTTCTGGGTAATTCTTGGTATTTCTATCTTTATAGTTACCTTTATAAGAATAGAAACTTTCAAACTTCTATTTAACTCGGAGAAATATTGTGTTTACCTAATCCGATACGTAAATGAGCCTGAAAGTGAAGCAAATTCGATTACAGAAGTCTCTAAATACAGTACACAGCTAAGTCCAAAGATGAGCTAATCAGAAGTTTAGAAATACCAGTCTACCGGTGTTAGTAGTGCAAAGTTCGTGGAAAATTACGAAACTTGTCGAATTTTGTGCATCCAAAGGTGTCTGAAGATTAGTCTTGCTTTACTGCTATAGGAGCAAGCCGAAATCGGTGTAGCTACTGTCAGAGATAATAAACTTTTAATTAATTAAATATATACAAGCTCCATTTCTTGTCTTTCGCTTTTCCTTTGATTTTATGTCAGTTTACACAACGTGTTGGTTAAGTTGTGGATTTACACGAAACTCGGTCTGCATGCGTTCCACGAGCTTTTCTTTTGCGTCGACGTACTATCGATCATCGAATCGCGGCGTATTTCTGGTATCGGTGAGCACGAAGTCTTCCGCTTTTTTTTTTTTTTTTTTTTTTTTTTCATTTTTTCGAGATATCCAGTGTACCGTAGATAAAAAAATCAATATGCTCGGGTTCTTTTGAATTCTTCTTGTTGCTTGGCAAGAGGTGATACAGATTCAGCATTATTTTCCTAGGTTATTTTTTTCTATGGCGCATGCATAAAGCGATGCTTTTTTATTTTGTGCAAACAAGTTTCTTTGCGGGTAGGCTTTTCATACCTTTATTTCTTCCATTTTAATTGCAGGCACCTGCAATTGGATGCGAAGAAAGATTTTTGTCCCTGGGTTATGCCCTCTTGTTTTATTTACTTTTTTCCTCCAGTTAGATAGCAAATGAACTGACTATTTCACGTAGCCCAAAGTCGGTGAACTAGATATATCAACTAGGTTGTAAAATCGATCTTCCGTAAAAGTCAATGTACGTGGAAAGCGTACTCTTTTTACGAGCTTTGTTGGTCGCCATAAAAGCACATGATTGTGAAACCAAAACAGAGTGGAGACTACTGTAGCCAAATGTGTTTTACGTCTTTGTCGCAGGTCATATTCGAAAATTTTTTCTTGTCATTGACTCTTTTTTAGGAGATTTCCTTCGCAATCGTTTAAAAAACGCAGAGGCATTCATTTTTAGCAGTAAGAAAAAAGGATTCGAAAATATAAATAGTCAAATTGTAAAAATAACAAATCTTAAATAAGAAACATTTTCATACAAAATAAAAGAAGAAATTATCAGTACAAAAAAATCTGAAACCACGTTGATTAAATTGATTTAGTATGCTGGAATCAATGCTTTGTGTTCGCAGTATTTCCCTTTCGAGAATCGAGAGTCGTTTACAATTGCCCGGTATTGAAACCGTATCATTGATCCTCGAATATTTTGGTCTTTCACGTCTCACACGGAGGAGATTTGCCCCTTTTGTTTTCCCAGAGTATCGCTTCTGGCCCTCGATTACAAGAGATTTATTTTGGGGCAAGGAACCTGGCGACAAACAGGTCGTGGCACTTAATTACGACGGGACACCTCTTTTCCGTGAATTACATGTGTTGCAGCCACTCTTTTTATCAAGCGGTACAGCGTAATTAGAACACGCCCTAAGGCTGCTACGTTTTAAAATACAGCCGCTCGAGTTTTCTTACGCCCCAGTGGGTATAGGCTCTGCTTACCGCATAGAAAACGAGTGCTAACTGTCGTAAGTCTGCAATTAAAAGCACTTTGTCCAGATGCAACATTGGTCGCCTCTTGTTGCACGGTTTATTCGTCTCCACGCACATTGTCCTCTCCTCTTGCTCACGATTTCGAATGCCATTTAGAACTTTCACGAAGATATTCGTTTTATTCTGTTATTTTATTCGTTCATACGTGGAGGATTCATTGTAACGTAGTTGATATGAAAGATATTTCCTGTTACTTAGGCACACAGTGTGTATACAGATGTGCTATAAGTTTTATCTTTTAAAATAGAGTGATTTTGTGGACTTTCTTACAGAACAGAAATAATATTATTAGGGACGCAGTTTGTAACATTATTACGTTTAAAATTCACCTAATTTTTAACTCCACTTACTTTATCGTGTGAGACTCAGGATTAGGAGATCAGATCAAACACAGGTATCGCGGGCGAGAGTCATGGATGATCAAAGATAGGACCGAATGTAGACATCATGGGTCAGGTTTGTGGTTAATTTTCGGATGTTTTCCTGTTTCAGTTGCATGTTATTCTTCGCCGCGTTCGCACGAAATGGCTCGATGGGTCTCGACGTGTCTCAACGTGTCTCAACGTGTCTCAATGTGTCCGACGTTGCTGTTGACTATGGCACGTGCCATAGAAAGTTAAATAATACGGTTAATACCCTATTCTTTTCATCCTTTCATGAAATTGATTGGTTTCCAACCGTGTCATTATACTTGTCTCTATCCAACATAATTCAAGACAATCGCCCGATGCCAATATAAGAGTTCCCATAATAGCTTCTTTTGTTTCTTGTACGCACTTCTAAATTTATAAAACGATCAAATGTTCCATGCTCTATTTCGCATTAGTCCGCAGGATGCAGATGTCTTCGATAAGTTTAAAGCTTTGATCCTTTATGCACGGTATCTTGCCGCATTAACCTGTCCCAGAAAAATCTGCCATTCGAACTTTCCTTCCTATTAGAAATTTCCTTTCATTTTTCGTTACGTTTCCTTTTAATCTGTTAACTTGGTCGTTGCTTAGTTAGAAATTTCAGACGCAAAATTAAAAATCGATAAAAAAAAAAAATTAATTTTTAGCTTAATCGATTTATATCTAAATCGAACTATATTGAATTCATACGTATCATATTTTGATTGATAGATATTAGCAATAACCTAATTACTATTCTAACCTCACTTTCCATCAATTTTTCTGCTCTATAACATATCTGTTTGAATATCATCTTGATAATTTCGACGCATTAAAAATGGAGAATCTGTAAATAGATATTTCATTAAATTCAAGACATTGACATACCTGACAACAAGTTAACCCATCTTTCCCGGTTAACAATGGTTAATTTATTTAACGATCGTACCTGGCTGCTTCGTCTTTGTTATTTTACCCTCCATTCCGCTCGGTCAGGTTGGAACGCAGCTTTTTGTTTGCTATTCGTTAGAAGGTGAACGTTCGGGAAACAGAGACGTAAAGACACTGCAGTCTGCACTGCGGACTCACGTGCAGTTAACTTTCCGCTCAAAGTCGCGAGCCATGGCTACATTCGCTGCACCTTCTGTTAGACTTGAACTAGTTCCGAATTCAACGTGATAACAAACAACGATGGTTACGGAATAACACGAAGACTCGTTGTTTCCAACGATAACCATTCCCCACTGATCTACAAAGTTCTAGACTCCACGATGAAATTCGATCCGTTCGTTTCTTTTTTACTCTTTCGATTCGTCACGGTTCGAATCGTGACCTCGAATTTGGCCCGCGAGCTATTAGATGTCGCATCGATCCGTTTCTTGATTTAGTTTCAGTTTGATAATTGGTTTAGACGGTATTAGGGGTTTGTGTCCAAGAATACTATATCGGCTCGATTGGGAAGCTCTGTCGCTAAATTTTACCTACGCATGTATAAACTGATTTGTAAATTTCCATAGATTATGAATACAACACCGCAACAATAGTGGGCAGCACTGAGCAGTCTCGCAAAATGAAGCTAAAATGCCACACGTGAATTTCTTAATTTCCAACGGATTCTGCATTATTCTCGAACATTCGATAACAAGTTAAGTTTTTTTTCCCCTAATTTTTCATATTACCTTTCATAATTCGAGTATTTATTCAATTCCATCATATTTCAATTTCTATAGTCAGCTATTTTGAAAGATTTCAAGCAGAAAATACCATCGAGTTCAGGAGGCCATTTCAATTCGAGCAAACACGTTCTAAAATGCAAGCTGGTGCTCTCTGTTCCCGACGAGGACGGCATCGAGAGTGCAGCCAATTTTCTCGTTAATTGTATCGGGTGGAACGATCCATTTTCATCTTCGATCGCGTTACGTCGACGAAAGTCAAATTTAACGCGTTCATGAATACATTACGGTCGAACTGCAGACTGCCTGTATCTCTTATCGACCCCGTTGAAAATCATTCGTAAGGTATGCAAATTTCACGTCGTGCCGGGATTCCGTGTTAATTGAAAATAACGAAAACAAATAATATTTTAAGGATCATATTATACAGGGTAAGTCACCTAACTCGACCAGTTTAAATTACTCGTGAACTGTTTATTACATGAGAAAATATTCCAGGTAAAAGGTGAGTGGCTTTGAAGGGGACATGATTTGATCTTATCAATTCTTTCTGCACGTGGACACAGAAAGGATATACGAAGGCCAATTGTGCTTTAAATGAAATGACTCTTTTTTTATAACGTACTAATCGACGCAGAAAGAACATCAAGGTATCCAAGCCAAACCCATTAACATGAGAGGTATTTTAATTTCATTAATGCGAAATGGTACTCGATTTGAGAAATTCTAAAACTAGGCAACGAATCCGATTTTCCAATTATTATATTGGTCGAGGTGGGCGTATTGAATTTCCACCAAGCTCACCGGATCTGATACTATCGAGTCTCTTCCTCTGGGGATATTCGAAAAGCAGGAAACAGCGAAAGTACGAAAAAAAAGATAACCTCAAATCGTGTCAGTTTCATTTTTTCGTGTAATGGTGTACGAATAAATTATGGCGATCGAGTTAGGTGACTCGCCTTGCATAATTGCGCGGAAGTGATTTATGATCGTAACGCGGTGAAATATCATATTTAAATTTTCGTGCGAGGGATCATTGTCCAGTAAAGTGCCATGCACTTACTCCCAGTTATGCAATTTAATGTAACATATACTCTGTTGCGTAATGTATTACTTAATATTACGTAATGCACTACTTGGAAAGCACAAGTTCATTGATGAGCATGAAAATTGAATGGCAATACCATACTTGCTTTTAAATTAATTCATTCTCTATCCCATCACGCATGCAATTAATAAGGAAATTGCTTGTATACTTAAAATTTTCCATAACGTTCAATGGCATGATTAAAAAGCGTTCAATTATATAGTCATTACGGTGTCCATAAATTGAATACATATATCTTTTAATTTTAACGTCATGTAAAATTGGCACATAAAATGAATCTTTGTGCAATACTAAGCCTCAAATTTCTAGAAATATGTATGCGTGGTTAATGATTAGAGTTAACAAAAAGTGATTTATGGCTCGTACTTCACAGTTGCAAAATTTTAAGAAAATTTTGCTAGTTACTTACTAGTAACTTTTTATTGCAGAAAATTAGCGAAACGTGTAACTAACTATATAATGGCATGAACTATACTGAAAAATACAGCGATTACTTCACGTTTCATGTTTCATCATACTTTCTCGCGGCTAAAATATCAAACTTCTTTCGAAAGTGACTCGCATACTTTACACATATATACCCTTTCCCTGACTGGTACCTGCATGATTTTGCAATCGATTTCGTTTCTCTATGGAAGTTTATATCTTCGTTATGAGCTGAACGATGTTAATGTTTCCGACACTAAATCATAAACACAAGATATTAATTTTTATTCTTTCTTTTCGTGAAATGGTTATCCGGTTATAAATTTGTTGGAATTTTGTGATAGATAAAAGAAAAAATGTATAAATTCGTTATTAAATAAATTTTCACTAAACATCTTGATCGAAAGACTCTGACGCAAAATTAAAATTAGGGATGTAAGTCTTTTATGCTAAAAGAAGCATTGAACTAAAATTAGTAGGCTATTAAAGTTGTCAGGTCTTAATAAAGAATCGTCGACTATCTTCGAGTAATAAAATTAATCCCTAATGAAAAAAAGAATCTTTTAGTTAAAATTTGTATCAAAAAGTTTTCCATAGAAAAATTTCTTTTATCCCTAGCCTTCAATTATTAATTACTATATACACAATAATCGTTAAATATTATCGATAAATTTAACAAAGGTACAAGCGTTTACTATTCGTCTAGCCAGAAGTCAAACAAAACGTTTTGTTCTACGATTCCGTGGAAACCCGAACAGTTGAGCTCCTGTAGGAGATTACCGGAAGTACACAGACGTAGCTTGGGTGAAAGGAGATGTCATCGAGCGCATTGCTTAGACTTTAAAGGCGCCGCCATCTACCTTGCTTTCGACGCGTTGTCTCGAAAGATATTCACAGTCGAGAAGCTGTTTCGAAAATGTAGAACAGATGGGGTGAATGGGAAAAAATGCGACACTTTTGTGCGACATCAGTCGGGAGGTTTGGGTACCCGCAAATTATTCACGAGGCATCCTCGCCGCGAGCCGTTCCCTGAAATAATGACATTCATAATTTACATCGTCGATATTGTCCGATGAACTGCGTGAAATATTCAAGATAGAGCCAAACAAGAATACATTGTTTCGAGATCGAAAACGCAATTCGTGATTTTAAACCAGAAATATTTCTAGTACGAGGATTCATTGTTGTGTGATTGTTCAAATATAACCATGTATTAACATCGAGACGTTTGGATATAGGTGGTGTTTTGTTAAAATAAATATCCGGTGCAGTGAAATATATAGTATGTATATATTTGTGTATA